ATGGGCCAGTTGGTGCCGCAGGGAGCAGCCCTCCTGCCCCTGACCTCCCTCCACCGTCCTGAGGGCCTGGGCACCCAGGGGGCAAGAGGGGAGGAGTAGACACCCAACTGGCTTGTGCCAAGGGTCACTGCCCTCCAGCCACCCCCCCAGTGTCCCTCCAAACCACACCCCTGCCCTTCTGCACCCCTGCTTGCTCTCCCTGTGGGGTGTTGGTCCTCCCTCCGCCCACCTGCTCCAAACACCGCTGAGCCAGGCCCCAGTGGGGAGGAGGAAAGGACCAGGAACCCTGTGTGGCCTTGGGCAAGCCAGTGACCGGGTTCAGAACTCACTTCCCCCAACTGCACAACAGAGCCAGTCGTCCTCCATGCTGTCCCCCTGCTCTGCTGTCCCCCCAAACTGTTGAAAGGCTGTGAGGAGCAAGACGTTGGAGGCGTTAGCCAGCTTACCACCAGCCCAGGTCCCTGCAGCCTCCCACTCCACCTTCCTCTGAGCCCCCACAGCCCTTGCCTGCATTTTGGTGTTCCTTAAACATGGCCTCATTATGTAAAAAATAAAAAAGTAATTCTTTAAAAGAGAACGATCAGATGAATTTGTGAGGGAAAGGTATTGGCACTGATCACACAACGGTTTTGGGCCAGACGCTGCCCCTGAGTCTTGTCCTGTGACCCTCGCTCCCCACCAGGCGAGTTCCTCAGCCCATTCCAGACAAGGACACTGAGGGTCACGTGCTTTGTCACGTATCAACGACTGAGGACCTGATGCGGAGCAGGGTTATGTGCCAGCTCTGAAATGACAAAAGCCCTTACGATGTCACCCACATCCTGTCACAGAAAACCACGTCCTAAAGAATTCAAAGCCCACCTCCCACGGCCAGTCAGCAGACACGGGACCTCACTCAGGTCCCCAGCGCCCTGGACTCTCTGTCCAGGGCTCCTTCTCCAAGTCCAAATGCCACAAGGACCTTACCCGTGACAGGAAAGCCTTTCCCTAACACCAGGGCAGGTGCTGCTGTGATGGGAGGTTAACAGTGAGACTGGTAGGCATCTTCAGGTGGCAAAGGTCATGTCAAAGGGGGCCAAGGATGAGGGGAGCCCTGGGGACAAGTACAATGGGGCTTGGACAGAGACAAAGATGAGACAAATAGGGGGAGAGTGCAACTCATGTGCACATTTACATATTAGAAGAGTAATTATAAACCTTTGTTATAAATCTCCACAGCTCTAATGAGAGGAGACACGAATCAAGAATGCAGAAATGACATGTATTAGGGTACCATTGTTCCTGACACTGTCGTGAGGGTTTTTGTTGTCTTTGCTCTGGGGCCTTTAATTAACAGACGGGCCCCAGCGCTCGGCGAGTTTTTAGAAGGGCTTGGAGTTGGGGGCGGGAGGAGGAGTGATCGGATCCGAGGGATCATTATGATTGTCACGATCATTATGACGAGACTTTCCTCGCTGGCAGTGGTGTGCGGCGTTGTCGTGGAAACTGTGTGCTTATTAGTAACACACTCTGTTAAGGTTACCGGGATGCTGGCCTCCCTTAGCAGCTGGCTCCCTGGTCACTCACTGGTCGCTGCACAGTGGCCTTGGTGACCCAGACAAAGAGTCGGCACTCGGCAAGGCCTGCGATGTTCTCATTCCGGTTCCCCCTCTGGCCTGCTCTCCATCTCCACAAACAGCCCATAAAACATAACGTCCGCTCTGGGGCGCTGGAGATGTTCCAGACTGAGATCTGAGTGGTGGTCGCGGGGGTGCAGAGCAGGTAAGACTCCGCTGAGCCACCACTTAAGGTTAAATACTCTACAGCACTTACCTTATAGTCAATAATTTTTTTTAAATTGCGCCCTTTTCTTATCACCTAGAGAATTGTGTCTTTCCCACAGGTGTGCACCTTACTCAGGGGATATCCAGAACACCAGAGTCAGGTGATGCAGACACCAGCCCACAGTGTCCGAGTCATTATGGGTGAAATGAGACATTCACATGGACTATCGGGTCCAGTGGAGGAAAAGGGACAGCATGGCTTTTCTCTCAAGGGGAGCAAAAGCCTTGGCCTCTGCCATCACAGGCCTTTATTGGGTTTCTCTGCCCATTACATGATGGTCCTCATTTACTATGCACAGGTTCACTTTAGGTAGTTACCTTTTATGGAAAACAAAGGAGCCAATGCTGCTAATCACATCACAGAAGAGAGATATTTGCAAATGAAACGGCAAAAGTGGTTGAACCAGTTACACTCATCCTTGGAAGGTTTAGCATGGATTTTAGGAAGTTACTTTGCAGTAAATGTCCTCAATTCAGGGCGAGGGAGTTTTAGCAAAAAGTAAGACTTATAGCAGCCTAGGTACATTGCAGGCCTGATTCCCCACAGGAGAACCTATCCATAGGCGTGGGTCCTGTGCATCTCCGAGTGGGAGCTGGGCCCATGCCATACAGAATGGTCTCCTACAGTCAGGGCAGCACCATTTAGAGGGGCAGTGCCTTGTGCCACGCACCTCTGGGTGCCCGCGCATCCTAGACTTTGTGTTACTGACTTCTCACTACTGTCTTGGGAACTCAGGGATTTTCTCCCCATTTGACAGATTGGAACCTGAGGCTCAGTGAAGTGCTGTGGCTTGTCCAGAGTCCCCTGGGGAGGGGGGATCTGAGCCCAAGTCTCTGCGACCCCTAGCCATGCTCTTTCCACCATGTGTGTGCACACCTCCTTGACCAAGTGAAATGCGTCCAGGAAAGGAACTCCAGGACATAGCACTGTTGAACCCATACCATATGGGGAAAATTAAAAAAAAAACATAAAGGAATGTTTCTCATTTAAAAAAAGATGTCATGAAAGAGTGGTGAGAGAGGAATGGGTCTCATCCCAATACTTTAAAAACAAATTACTTGCCTACACTGAAAAAAAAATGCAAATGCAGATGTCTGCAGTCTCTTAAAAATCAGACCTGGCTACTCGGGGCCCACATTCCCACAGTATACACCCTCCAGATTTCCCCACTCTCCACGCAGCCCCTTCACTCCCTAGGGGGGTAACCACCCACTGATTGGCAGTCTGGCTTCCTTTCATTCTCCTCCTGGGAACCATGCTCCAGGTCTCTGGAACCACCCCCTCTCCCACTCCTAGTCCAGCCACTTTGAGTTGGGTTGAATCCATCCCTGGCTCTAATGTTAGCATTGTGTTAATCTGTCCAAAGTGACTGGCATTAGCTGAGGTTTGGACATGACCCCATCAGAGCCAGTGAAGGTACAACAAAACTTTGATTGGAATTTGCTGGACATGAACCTATAGGGTGTAGCCTGGAGCTGCTTTCAGATATCTTAAAAGCATGTGGAGTCTTAGAATGAATCCAACATAGAGAAGAAAAGAGCCTAGTAATGGAGAGGTCCTGGTGTCCTTATTTAACCCCTTGATCAAGCTCTACCTGAAGCTTATGCTATATTCTTTATTTATGTGAACCAATAAATTATTGGATCTTTTGTTTGTTTGTTTCTTCAAAGCACAGGAGATAGTTAGGAGCCATTTGTTTGCAAGTAACAGAAAAGTCTTCCCTAGAGAAGCTCCTGGGCCAAAAGACAGCAGGAACGAGACCTAAGGTGTAAAAGTGACAGAAATCTAAATTTCAACCCAACAAAGATGAAACTTTTCAACACTGAATCATTAAGAAGTAGCAATATGTTATGAAATCCAAGTCAATGAAAGCGTTCAAACAGGTTAAAATTTGTTATCAATGTGTCAATTTTGGCATGGCATAGGTGGATGGAGAAGTTAACCCCTGCCTTAGAGTCCTTTCAGCTTGATGATCCTGTGAATATCAAGAATGGAATGCTCCTCAGGAGGGATTTCTTAAGCACCCTGAGAAGGTTCTTCCCCTACCCCTGTTATCTATTGTTAATAAATCCCAATTGTTCCTTTCACAACAATTACAATTTTTAACTTTTATTTTCAATTTAAATTTTTAATTTGAGACTTATAATTTTGCTTTCTGTCTCCCTCACTAGGCTGTCAGTTCCATAAGAGCAGAGACCTTGTCCCTTTGAATTTCCTGTATCTCCAGCACAGAGCAGAAGTCCTGCCACACAGTAGGCCTTCAATTACCTGAAGGAATGAAAGAATGAACAAGACCCTCAATGACCCTGTGCTGTCCATGAAGTCACTCAGCAAGCCCGTGTCCAAACGGAGCCCCTGAGGTCTGTGGCCACTGTTGTCTCTCTCACATTAGCGCTGTTTCAAAACATCTCATCTGTGCCATTTACTGAAGGATGTCATTTCAGTCAAGAGCATTCTGCCACCCAATCTCTAGTGTTCTCCTTTTATTGCACTGATTTGAAAGAGAAAGAGAGAAACATTGATTTTTGTTGTTCCGCTTATTTATGCATTCATTGGTTGATTCTTATATGTGCCCTGACCAGGGATCGAACCTGCAACCTTGGCATAGTGGGATGATGCCCTAACCAACTGAGATGCCTGGCCAGTGCTAGAGTATTCTTCATGTCTAGCACGCTCACCCTTGACTAGAGGCGTTTTTCTCTCCCTCCCTGGTCATCTGGCATAGGAGACAGCCGACACTTCAGGTGGCAGCACCTCCCCCTGCTCCCCCAACACCCCCACTTCCTCCACTGCATGGCTGGGCACTTAAGCTTTGCCACTGTCCTAGAAAACAGTATAGGGAAGGAAACCCTCCTTTACTGAGCACCTACTATGTTCGAGGAGCTTTGTATATATGATTGCATCTAATCCTCTCAGCCACCTTGCAAAGCTGGCACTCTCAGTTTTTACTGAACTAAGGCCCAGAGAGGCCAACTGACTTACCCAAGGTCACACAGATCTCAAACTTAGGGCTATGCTCGTTCTATTATCTTAAATTTAGTTTTCTAACATAAAACTGTGTGCGTGCGTGCGTGCACCTGTGTAGTTTTCATTTCCCAGCACTCTTTTCTGCAAATAGTGTTTCCACTCCCTGGAGAACGAGACATACCTACACACAGCCTCTAAGCTATCAGCGATTTTATTTATTTATTGTACTGAAGGAGTGGGAAATAACACGGGCCTATTAAGGATTAAGCAAATTCCAAGTAAATTGCATAAATGGGATTTTTATAAAGCCCACCAAGTAATCCTAAAACAATCAGTACATTTCAGAACATCATGAGAGAGCTGGGAGTTGCACGTGAACAGTTGTGATCGGTGGGATTTACACAAATTAACCAAACTCAAGTCCATTTGCTCTCCTATCCAGCCCAGCCTCCCCGACCCACAGACCAAACCCCAGCGCCCGAGGCAAGCGAGCAAAACAGAGACAGAGAGAGAGGGAACTCGGATGGAAACCAAGGCATTGGGAGGACTCGGCCTCTGGCTCTGAGACATCTGAATCAAGGGAACTCATTTGTCGTCAAACACTTAATCATTTCCTTCTTCTTCTCGCTTTATTAATATTTTGACATTAAGAGGGAAGAGTTGCCATGGGGTGGGGGAGGGCCTTTTCACTCTCTCACTGCTGCTCCTCGACTGCCTTGCGCAGTGCCCACTGCATATGTTCGGCCAGATGGCCTGGGCTCCCGGCAGCAGATTCAGCTGCTCAAGAACATGGCTGCGCTTAACCTCATCGGCTCCGCTCAGCTCCCGTTCGTCCCGGGGCAGGAGTGGGACGCCGCTCGGTTTAATTAGTGTGATGAGGGCTGAGGGAACGGGCCCACATTCTGAGTTTGTTGCACAGAACAAACTGGTTTGCCTTGCTCCCTGCATGATCGTTTCGGCATTCGGACGGAGAGCTGCCCTCCGCAACCATTTAGGGAAAGGGCTGTTACTACGCCTTTCCACTCCCGCGAGATGTGGGCGCTGTCCAGGGTACCAACATGGGCGGAAGTGCAGAAACTCGGTTCTTGGAAATGTGTTTCTAAACCATGAAAACTCAAAGCACGCCAACACTTAATCTACTAGAAGACTGAACTTTCTAGTGCAGGAACTCCTGCTCCAATCGAAGGCCGGGTTTGAGTGCTTCACCTAAAGCACAGCCTTCAAAGTGGGGTACACAGGAGATCCTTTGAGGCTTGGGAGGAAAATATTAGGATGTCTATTGTTTATTTCTCTTATTTTACATTTCTACCTTTTCTATGTTTTAGCATACATATATATAGCATCTAAATGACTATATCTGCGTGGGAGTGATGCTTATTTTTCTTCTGAGAGGAGCATGTGATCAGCAAAGCTTGGAAACAACAGGTGTAGAGAGATGAAGAAATCAGCATGGATTTCTGGAACTGGGGAGTCACGTGAATGGGGTGGAGGGATTGATATGAAAAGCAGTGGCTTTAGAGGTCTAGGGTCTGAGCCAAGCACTAAGCCCACTGAGGGGGAACCTCTGTCCTCCCGGCCCACTGGCCCCGACAAACCCTGCACTCCGGGCAGAGGAGAGGCAGGCTGGGCATGGGTGCACTGTCAATAATGTGGGGCTGAGCGTGGGGACAGGGAACGTAAGGAGGGAGAATGAGTGCACTCCAATATGGGGGAGCTCCTGACTCCCCTCCATGGCGGGCAGGTGTTTAAGATTCAAAAAGCTCTCTGGAGTAGGCACTGGGGTCCTCCTGAGACCGAGTCACCACCTTGAACTGGCGCCGGAGAAAACCTCCATAGCGCTTCTGGTTGTCCCACTTGAGCTTGGGACGGATGCGCCGCAGGAAGCCCCCATAGCGTTTGTACAGGTCTTCGTGGCCCACCCTATCCCCCTCCCCCACCCCCTCCCCAGCCACCTCGGAGCTCCTCTTAGGGTATTTGCGCAAGAAGCCCCCATAGCGTTTGACCTGCTCCCTGGGGTCCTCCTCATCAGAATGCAGTGTGCCAGCTTCCAAGGTGACATCATCCAGCTGGGTGTCCCCCATCAGCTCTGACTCTGACCCCTCCTCCAACATGCCAGAGAGACCCCTGAGCTTCTCTGCCAGGCTCCTGCTCAGAGCATTCTCCTCTGCTGGCGTGCTGAGGAGGAATCTGTTTTTCTCCAGCTCTTTCAGGTAGGGCCCCCTGTGCTTGGCCAGCTCGCCGTAGGCCTCTTCCAAAGCTGCCTTGCTCTCCGAGTCTTCCTTCCCACTGAGCCTAAGAGGGAAGGGGGTGAAGAAGGACAGAAGGCCCTGGCACCTCTCCCACTCTTCAGGGGGCAGCAGTGCAGCCTGGCATTCCAGGGAGCAAATCTGCAAAGGACCACAGTAGTAATGTTACTGCCATCAAGTTGTCAAAGCACATGTACCCCCTGCCCCAGAAAATCTTCTGTCCAATGTCTGAGAAAATCAAAATAAGCTGTGATCCCTGAGCCTCAGGCTACCCACTTGAATGTTTCCAGTGGTGCATAAAGGTAGGTGACTTTGTGCCCAAGTGGAAGATGAGAAAACAGATGTGGGAAAATGAAACAGCTTTCCCCGGGGCACAGGGCCACAGTGGCAATGCCAAAATCAGAAGTTGGGTCTTCCCATAGTGCTCTGCTGAGCTCAGTCGTGTCTTCCACTCCTGACTCCAGAGGGAGTGGCTGGTTCTTCCAACCTTTCCTAGGTGTGGACATGTCATAGAGCAGGACAGAAGCAATGCAGAACGGTGGATAGAGCACATGAAGGGACATTTGTCAAATCTAGGGGACAACATTGTCTAATGCATAGGAATATTGGGAGAACTCAAACACGCTGATGGTGATGGTGAGAGTGATGATGATGACAATGACGATGACAACGCAGCACCACCCTGGAACTTGGACCCAGGCTGTCTAACATCATGAGTCCTCCTGATTAACCCCTGTTCTCTCCTGGGATCATGTGTGGGCAGTACCTGGCAAGCTGTGTTCATCTCAGCAAAGAGTGGCAGAATTGTGAATGTAATACTTTGCATCATCATTTCATGGAATCACTCCCATTTTGCAGATGAGGAAACTAAGACTTGGAGAGAAGCTTCCATGGTCATGGAACTAAAAAGTAGCAGAACCAAGGCTGCATTCTGTCCACCATGCCCTTGGCAGCTCTGCTCCGGACTACCTGCTGTCACAGGACAGGAACGTGGGGAAGCGTGACTCAAAGCAGAGCCAGTCAGGCTGGGCCAAGAGATGCTATGACCCAGGAGAGGGGAGGGGTCAAGGCTTGGATTGATCAACCAGATCCTGGCATTGACGGGGGGTGGAAAGAGCTCCTCCCATGGAGGTGACCAGATTTGGAGGTGCCCATCAGCCCAGTGGTACGAAGCCCTGAAAAGTTACTCTAAGGCTGCCAACTCCCAAAGTCAGCACACCTCATGAACGATGTTCCTTTTTGCCAGGCATCCGGCTCCCTGGAAACCCGAGTCTCTGTCTCCGACCTGACTCAGCCCAGGCTGGTGAGGTGTGGAGAAGAAACGGGAGCTAGAAAACAGCAGCCCCTCGCCCCCAGGCTGGCCACGGAGCAGGACGTGCCCTGCACGGGGGGACAAGTCTGCAAGGCAGGCAGACCACTGCCCAGGCCTGCCCTCTTCCCTCTGTGGGCTCCGCACACACGGTCCCTTCCAGCCTCCTGGGGGCCCAGGAGCCTTGCCTGAAACCTACCAGTGGATTGATGGGTTTGGGCCCATCCTGGGTCTTCACAGCACATAAGGAGCAGCGGGACAGGCAGTCCGCCATGGTGGAGGGGAGCGCAAGGAGGCAAGCAGCCAGCACCAGCCCCTGCCACGCCATGCTGTCTGGGTTCTTCCTGCTGGGGAGGGAGAAAGGGAAGATAATGAGATCTGAGATTGCCTACCCTCTGGGGGGCGTGTTGAGTCTGCAGTCACCTCATCAACTCCCACTGGAGCACCCAAGGCAAGCACTCCACTTCCCACTCTACAGATGACAAAACAGAGGCCCAGAGGGGCACTGTAGGTACCCAAGGACAAGGGTCAAAGAAAGGAGTGAACACCCATTGGGTGCCTCTGCTATGTGCTAGGAGCTTTCCTACACAATTCCCATTTAATCTGCACAACAGCTCTGTGGGTAGGTTGTGCCACTGGACACAAGGGGAAGTTGAGGCTCAGAGAGGGGGAGTGATTGCAGACACTCTCTGGGAGTGTGCACAGTGGGGCGGTGGGCAAGCCAGGACTTGGCCAGAGTCAGTCATCCTTCGACATGCACTTTGATTACCCACCAAGCCAGAAGACACTCGGCCATCTGCTCTTCTGAGTTCCCTGAGGCTCCCATCACCTGCCTTTGTCCCCTGCTGCTCAGGCGGTCAGCGGGCCAGTCCTTTCTGCCATGTGAGGCCTCTGGAATTTGCCTTTTCCACCCAGCACTTCTACTCACTCTGGCGATAGCTCCAAGTTCTCCCACCCCTCCACCCCAACACATCTGCTCTGGGTTCCAGCTACGTCCAGCTACTTGCAGTCACCGCAGTGAATCTTCCAGGCCCACCTCTGGGCCTTTGCACATCCCTTCCTCTCCTCTTTGGCTGCCTATCATTTAGGTCCTTGATTAGACATCAGCTCATCCAGGCAGCTCTCCACGATCCCCTAGGCTATATGGGAAGCTCCTCCTTTGTATTATCCGAGTAACTTGTGCCCCGTCCACCAAAAGACTCCAGTATGTGCTAGTTCACTGTGTGAGACTCCAGACTTCAGTTCCATGCAGGCAGCAGCTGTGTCTTGTCTGCATCTTGTCTGCGTCCCTATAATACCCTCTCTGTGCTCCTCAGACATGCGTGCTGGCTCCTCCCTCAGCGTCTTGGAGCTTTCTGTGCCTCCGTCTGCAGGACTCTGCCCTGAGCTTCCCATGGATTGTTCCTTCTTGTAATCACATGGACTCAACATCCCATCACCTGGGCAGTGTTTGCTGAGCTCTGTGTTTAATGAGCTCTGGTCTCTCCTGTGTCACCTGCTGTGTTGGCATCACCACCTCATGATGTCCTATCATTTGATGTTTGTTGTGGTTTGATATCATTTCCCCACTGAAATGTCAGCCCCGTAAGGGTGCAGATGCTATTGGTCACAGAGTCTGCTGTATCCCAGCACCTACAGCCCTGACTACACAGAGGACGCCCACACTAAGTACCAGGCAGATGAATTAGTGTTCACAAGAGTCTGTTAAAAGATGTCCCTTTGATAGTTAACTTCCTGTAAACCAAATATCAAGACCCAAGCCATTCAAACGGGGGCACAAGGCAGTTCTCCCACCTGGAAATGGGGAGTCCTCCAAGACACCCACCCAGGGCGGGGCTCCCTGCTCCTCCTTGCCTGGCCCTTGTAGCCTGACACCTCTAACCTTGCTGTCAGGGATGGCTGTCCTCCCTCCCTCCTCCAGGAGCCCCTATCCTGCAATCTGTCATCTGCTCCTGTGTTCAGGGGTTTAGAAGCTTCTACCACATGGCCCCGGAATCCCACACTGCAGCCCGGGGCAGGTCTCCCTCCTCGGAACCCACAGTAGGCTCCCGCATCAAAGCATGCCTGACAGTGGTCCCAGCCACCAGTTATGAAGCCCCTACTGTGCTCCAGGCCTTGAGCTAAGCCCCTAAATCCATCGTCTCATTCATTCCTCCCCAGGGAAGCGGCACTTCCAGTTTGATGAATTGCTCATCCCTCAGCAGATGGGAGCTGGGGTGCAAGGCCGTCCCGTTTGACTCCCCACATGTGTGTCCTTCATGATCACAATTTCTGCAACAGGTGACTCTAACAGCTGAACCCTCCGTGAGGCCCAGAGGGCCCTACGCACAGGCCTTTGACTTGTACACTGTCCTCAGCCCACCCGCCAGCTGAGAGATGAGCATCATTGTCCCCACTTTGTAAGTGAGAAAACTGGTGCTCAGAGAGGCTTGGTAAATCTCCTAAAGCTGCAGAGCAATTAAAGGCGAGAACTCAGGGCTGGCTGCCTCTCTCTGGCAGGGCAAGGTCTGCTCAGAGAAGAAAACAGAGGGAGGCGGTCGGTGTCCATCCTCCACCTCCCTCCTGCGCTGGAGTTTCTCTCACTCCACCAGCTGCTCAGAGGATCTGGGTTCCAGGCAAGCAAGCTCCTGGAAAACAGGCAAGGCAGCCCCTGTTTTCCCTGATGCCTGCCAAGGCTGGGCTGGCCTATTACGAGATTAGCAGTGCACTAACCAGCTGGGGAAGGAAGCCTACCCCACCTGCTCACTCCTGGCCTGAGGTGCCCCACACAGCACGGCTGCCGCAGGAGGAGGCCTGATTTGAGATTTCTTTGTCCCAGGCAAAAACAACCTCAGCCTCCTGTCCTCTCACCCATCAGCTTTATATTTAATATAATAATTCTACCTGATCTGAAGGTTAACAAGCACTCAAGACGTTCTGCACAATTCTCAGGATGAGCTCCCTTCCACTCCCGGTAACCGGGGGTGTGGGCACTCCTGTCCTGCTCCTTTACAGATGAGAAAAATGGGTTAAGACCCCTGCCAAGACTAAGCTAGTAAGTGGCCCAGCTGGGATTTGTACCCAGGCAGTCTGGCTCCAGAGGTCCCCTTCACAACCGAGGTGTACTGTCCCAGCCCCTTTAATCCACCCCACGCCCCCAGCCTCCTGCTTCAACCTCCAGGGGTCCCTATCAGCCCCCTCCTAGCTCCCGGGCAGCCTTACCAGGCAGCCTTCCATTGCCTCCAAGACACCCTGCACACAGCAGCCAGAGGTCAGTTCTGAACCACCAGTCTGACTGCCGCCTTGCCTTGCATCCTTCCAGAGGGAGCCCGCCCTGAAGCAGCGGCCCACGGGCTTTCCTACTGAGAGGGGCTGGCTTTGCCCAGGGCTCACTGCACGCCAGGACCTGTGCCAGAGGCATCCTAATGTGAGGGGGCTTTACAACAGCCCCATGAGGCTGGGACTCACAGTCTGCCCATTCCACACAGGAGGAAATGCAGGCACAGCGAGTTTGTGCCATCTGTCCAAGCTCTCCCCTCCACACGCCCGCCCCCTGCAAATGCACAGCACTGACCCAAGCCCGACCACACCCACTGCAACCCCAAAACAAGCTTTGCACACACAGTTCCCTCCTCTCAGAATGTCTTTCTTACCCCGCTCATCAGGGCCCTCTCGCCTGGCTGACTCTCCCTTGTTCTTCAAAACTCAGCCTTGGGTGCCCCCTTCAGGAAGTCTGCCTGGATTAGGTGTCCCCTCTGAGCTCCCAGTCACCTGTGCTGGCTCTACCACATAATTACCTTTTTTCTCAAGAAAAGGAAGTAGAAATTGGGGGTCGGGCAGGGTCAGGTGGGGCTGAGGCCTCTGGCCTCCTCCTCCCCGCCCCGCACAGGGTCCGGAGGTACAAACCAGCCGCCTGCAGGACAGACTCGGCAGGTGGATGGCAGGTGGGTGTGGGGTGTTCTGATCCACAAAGAGATTGTTTTTTAAATTGCTGCCGATGTTTTAAAATTGGCAGATTTTTACATTTTAAAAGGCTCCATTTCCAACTTGTGTTAAAAAAATAAAAAACCTTGGAGACATCAAGCCTGTGTTCTAATCTGGCAGCAGCCAGTCACAGAGGGGGCCCAGGCGGCATGGTCACCGCTGTCCCCACGCTGTGGCCTTCCTCTTGCCTGTCCCCGTTCAGCACCTGACAGACCTCTGAGTTGCAACCCCCGGAGTGTCTGACTCGTCTGACCCCTGGGAGGAGCCACTCAAGGCGGGAGGGGCGCGCTGGTGAGAAAGGAGAGGGGCGGCCTCTGATTTCGTGCTGACCCAGAAGCGGGACCACCACGTGGTTACTGACATGGATGCAGGTGCCAGCCTGCCACTCACCACCAGTGGGGAGAGTCCCCTCACTCTGCGGTGCCTCGATTTTCTCTACTGCAAAACACAGCTAATATAACACTTCAGACGGCTGGGCTGGCATAGGAGTTAAAAAAGCAATGGTGTAGAGTATCTAGCACATAGTAGGTAAGTTACCGCTTTCCACACATTATTCTAATCCTCACGGCAACCCAGAAGTGAGTGTCTTTATACCCAATAAAAGTGGGCAAGACTGAGGCTCAGAAAGAAGTCACTCGGCTTGGAAATGCAAGAGTCAGGCTTCCTGCCCAGATCTCTCTGGGTTAAAAGGTGACTCTAATTGAGACGCATCCGCCCTGAGAGTTTCCTAAGAAACCCTGTTTCCATCCCTTTGTGAGATAAACAAGTTGCTGAGTAATGTCAGATGGATTCTGGGGGAGTGTTTTCTCCTTTGCTACGGGGATTTGCTTCAAAGTCCTACATGAGAGGTTGCCCTGCCTGCTTGCCATCTCTGATTTGGGATGAGCTGAGGAGAAAAGGAACTTGGCCATTCGTCAGTATCAGAGGTAGAAGGCAAACCCCTCGGTGGGCTCAAAGGGTGGCAGCCGGCCCGCAGACCCCACGGAGGGGCTTGCGTGGCCCCTGGTGAAGGAGGGCCTCCGGACAGCCCTCCCAGAGAAGAACCTCCACACTCCCGAAAGCATTTCCTTAGCCACTGCCTCGTGGCACCTCCTGACGGCCCAGCGAGAGAAGCACCTGCTGGCGGGGGGCGGGGCGGGGCGGGGCGGGGCTGGCGGAGGAGGAGGAGGGGGACTCTCTAGGGAGAAAAAAATTTTGGACTCTTCAGGCTTCTTAGTCACATGACCCAATTCCTTTCCATGAACCTCTCTCATCCCATCGTTTCTGCACCCCGCTCCCTCCCTTTGTGGCCGTGTTGCAATGGCCACCAGCGGCTCGAAAGCACGGCTCTGTGTCGGAACAGGTGCCGTGAGGTCCAGGCTGCCAAAAATACTTCCTGCCTGGCTCTTGACAGAGAAAGTTTGCTGACCCTCGCCTTCACTAATTTTATAACCATTTTACCATTCTAAGTATTCTAATAGTTCTAAAGCTGATCTTCTCGGGGAAATCTGAGGGGAATCACTCCCCTCCCCAAGCCTCAGTATTCTCATCTGTAAATGGGGTATCACCTTCCTCCCACGTCTCCATAAGGACCAACTAAGACAGCATCGTTTATAGGGCCACCACACAGTAGGCCTTTTTTTAAACCCAGGGCCCAGGGTTCCTTGAAAGGAAAGAGGGTTCTTGCCCTATTAGCTCCTCTTGATGATGTTTCTATATTGCATTTAGAGGGTTCGGAGGAACAGCAAGCATTTTTATTTAAAAAGCCAGCGTGGAATAATAATGGCTTGATTTAACATCGCAATTATCTCTCCAAGCACTTTATCGCATATTAGCATCCCTATTTGATAGAAGAGGAAATGGGGAAAGGTAAAAATGAAATCACTTGTTTAAGGTCACATCATGAGTCAGGAGGGAAATGCAGACGGAGCGGAGCCTCCCACACCGGGGCGTGACTCAACCGAGGAGATGCGTCCTTTCAGTGACCCTCCAACCACGCTAATCACAGCAGCCAGCCCGCAATGCACTGCCGCTTTGTGCCCAGCCCTGGGCCCCCCATGGAGCCGCTGGGGCAGGGGCTATAATTACAGTCTCAGCTTCCAGGTCGGAGGGACCAGTGAAAACCCAGCAACAGAGCACCTCCAGGGTCACCAGCACAGGCATGGCAGAGTTGAACTTCTCTGGGTCAACATAGCGTCCACTGTTTAAGGCACAGCTATGGGGCCAAACTCATTGCTCTGCATTTTATCTCAATTACTGAACTTTAATCTGTAGGGGAACCCAGCAGCCTGGGCACTCGGAGCCCCATTTTCCAGATTGGGTAACAGAGACTCAGGAAAGCGCAAAGACTGGGTCACAGCCAGCAGGCAAAGACACAGTAGATGCAGGCTTAAAGCCGGTCTGTGACTCCACTCCACAAACTATCCCCGAGGCACAGGTCTGCGTTACATGTCCATCCAGTCTCCCCACCAAACTATCTTATTCCTGAAGATAAGACTATTTCAGGAGTTTTATGCCACTCAAAAAAAATATATATATATATATAAAGTTCATCTTTGTGGGTCTCCAGTGTGCTAGCGAAGAGACACCTCCAAAAATAGAGCCCAGTGCTTTTGTTCGGCCTTTAGTGTCCTTAACAAAGCAGGGATGATCAGTTTAGGAGGAATGGAGAGTGAAGCCACCATTTAGTCCAGCAAGAACTAAAACAGAAGGCAGGGTGAGGGCTCTGGCCGGGGACCGGCCAACTCTCTCAGGCCCTTTGTTGTCCAGAAACAGAGTGAAAGGCAGCCCGCAGCTGATGGTCGCAGCTGATGGTCACGGCGGGTTGTTAACTGCGTTTTCCAAAGAATGTATTTCAAAAGCAGGATTCACATGGAACACCCACCCTTTGTTACTTGATGCAATTAAGGGACGGGGAGAAAGGGAAGGGGGTGGACCAGAGAGAGGGATGGCAGTGAGGAGACACCGGACGGGGGAGGGGAGAGACCAAAGAGAGCAGCAGAGGTGGGACTTGCACACAAAGAGAGAAGCAACACCTAGAAAATCAGAGTGAGATGAGAAACAATGTGGGGGGGGTGGTAAAGATGAGCAATAGAGGTGGAGAAAGGGTGAATGGGAACAGATGAAGAAGGTGTAAGGAAAAGGAAGGGGAGAGGGAGAAAAGAGGAGAGATGGAAACAAAATGACAGAGAGAAGGACGGAAAGGAAGTGGCCTTTGGGTCAGGAGGTTGACCTACTATGTGAACCGCAAATTCCAGGTGTCTCCTCCTGCCGGTGGACCAGAGACCCAACCACATAACAACTGCTTCGTAAACCCTTGTCGGGTTGAACTGGACTGCCCAGGGATAGGTCCAGGAGCCAAATGATGGTGGAGAAATTGCCCCCTGATGTACATGCCTGCAGCCTGCAGCGGACCACTCTGGCCAGCAGAGGCGAGCCCCCAAGCCAAAGGACGTGCCTCGTAGACTGGAGCCATTCACACCCCTCTTGCCAGGGGCATCATCTGGACCCAGAGTGGGAGGGATTAATGAGGTCCCACTTCCAAGGACCCAGCGACACTTCTCAATCTCTTGGGCCTGATCCTGGGCTAACCTGGGTGTCACCAGTAAGGTTTACTGCACACCCCAATGGCCAGCTCTGTCTTACTGAAATCGTTTCAGACCTTTGCCAAACCCAGTAAGGTTAACCAACATTTATGGGCTGAGATGAGAGAAAACGATGAGAGAAATCGGCCAGTGGGCCGCACTTTCTCAGATGCACGTTGAAATCCAACCAGCAACTATTGATCCCACTCAGATTGATGGAAGACATCTAATAAATACAACAATTGTGTGAGAATGACCCGAGGGGGTTGCCAGTGGGCGGGGGAGTCAGGGAGGATCGATCAAATCGAGAAATGAAGTCTTCCGTTGTGTGTGGAGAATGGACTGGGGAGGGGAGAGCAGAGCAGTGCCCACCCCACAGGCAGGCAGAGTAGACGTCAGGTCCTGTTTTCTGGACGCTGCCCACAAGGTGATGGAGTGAGGTGATCAAGGATTGGAACAGACTGGGGAGGAGGGGAGGAGTCCAACTCTGCCACTTGGAACAGGGAAACCTGAGCAGTTGTACTAGCATTTATTGACTACTTAGTAAATGGCAGGCATGTTTCAGCATCCCATGAAAGTCTCACACTAACCCCAGGAAGTGAATCTTATTATTATCCTTATTGTACAGGTGAAGAAGTTAATGCTCAGAAAGGCACAGCTACTGTCCCCAAGTTACACAGCAAACAAGTGGTGGGATTTGAACCCAGGACTGTCTTAGTTTTGTGAGACACATTTAGATGCTATGTGGAGTTACCTCAAGACCTAATAATGCGTTTCCATGTGTCTTAAGGGAACTGCAAATTTCTCAAAACAGCCCCAGAGGGGGTCCCTCTTTCTGCTCTGCTAAAATGTGCTGGGTTCCTCAGAAAGCACTGCGACACTCCGCCCCCAGTTGCCAGTGGATCACGGGATTTGCCTGTCACCCATCACACCTCTAGCTCACCTGGGGCAAAGCAGTGGGCTTCAGATCCCTTCAGCAAGTGCACACCTCCCCCAGGCAGCGTAACTCACCTGCTTGGGCTGCTGCAACAGCTCCCCACGCAGATCTCAAAACCTGGAGATAAATGACCTGCAAAAATAGAACAAAAGGCAAGAAGAGGTAGGATCGGGGTGGAGGGAGAAGGAAAGGGTTGGCAGAAGGAGGAAGGGGTTGGCAGATTCAATGGGAGTGAGGGAGAGCGGCGGGGAGTGGGGTAAAAAGAAAAGAATTCACGTTCTGAAACGTTTTACACTGTATCTTGGCTGGAATGCCTGTCAAATTAGAGAGACAAGCCTTGTCTATTTTACCAGCCCTTGTAAGAAAGATGGTAATGAAGACTTCGATCGTGGGAGGGGAATTGAAATCAGATCCAATAATGGGAAGAGCTTGTTTCCCCCTAAGGAAGCTTGGAGGCTTAATTAAAGAATATTTGTAAAGATTCTGCATAAAAGATACCCAGGAAAAAGTAGCAGGTCTCAGAAATTCCTATTCAACCTCAGAGTCTTCAGCAGGCTTTATTTTTCCTTCTGAAACTCACCAGCTTTTTTGCTGGAGTCAAACTTTGACATTCTATAATACTTTCTTTGAATGTGGACATCCTTACCAGGGAGCAAATGGCTTTCCCATCAGAGGTCTTTCCTGCCCGACTTCCACCCCTCTGGCTGTAATGTACACAAAAGCAACAAGTCCTTTCAAAGTGGAATTGAGGCGAAAAGCCTTGCTAAGGCTGGTTCTCCTCGCACGTTGTCACTCTCTTTCCCCTTTCCGCCCAGCAAAGCAGCTCCAAACTTCATGTCTGGGTGGAATTGTCAAGGGAAACCACTCAAACCACTACTCTGTCAGCAATTAAATACCGTCCAAAAAGAATGAAAAGGCTGAACTTGGTTGTACATTGATATACATGATTCTCGGTAAATGCCAGAGCCCCGAATCTCATTACTGTCCCCAAGCCCTTGTTCTCCAAGTCCAGAGAGAATCCCTGACCTTTAAAATCACTCTGATGAGCTAAAATCCTCACTGCTCCCACCCAGGGCGTCATCCCATTCTGCATGGGAACTGCTCGGAGGAGAATTACAGGACCGAGAAGACCCAGAGCTAAAACAGAGGGGTGGCCCCCCGGGAGAGAGCAGCCCACCTGTTTAAGCTGGGACGGAAGGCGGAGGGCAATTCCGAAGAGCAGCCTGTCTCCCACTGCTCTGTCTTTTACAAACTGTCCTCCTAACTGTAACTACGTCCGCCAGATAATTAGACCCAAACCCAAAATCCCCCAGCCCGAGCTCCCACCACCTCCGGGTCCAGAGGACCAGGCAAAACAAAACCAAGAGAGATTCCAGCGCCCCTCAGGCTGTTACCTGTGCTCTTCTTTGTCCCTGGACAGCTTCTGCCTGAGCAGGTCAGAGGGTCGTGGTAGCAGGTGGCCTGTCCAAGCCTCACGGGCCACCCGGACTCCGGCTTGGAAGGAGGTACCAAAGAGGCAGCTGTGAGCACCATCAAAGCCCCTTGGAATGGCAGTTCTGGTGCCTCACCCCCCTTTTATGGATGAGAGCCTCCCCCTGTCGCTCAGCCCTTGCTGAGCACAAGCTGCTCGGGAGCCAATGGGGAGGTAGCTCTGAGCAGTCAGAGGCGCAGACCCCAGGGCCCTTCAACTCGAACTCCCTGGGCCTGACACAATAGGCTTCGTGACAGGGGATGTGGAGGAGGCAGCAGCCGCACTGGGAGCGGGGTGGATTCTGGGTGTAGTGCTGTTTGTCACTTGAAATCTGGCCACTTCAGTCTTTGATGCATTTCCAGGAGAGTTTCGCAGAAATAGAGGGAGAGCGAGGACAGGGAGAGGCAGAGGTAGGGGAGGACAGAGACAGAGTTGGAGAAAGACAGAGAGACACTGCAAGAGAGTCGGAGAGGGACAGACAGAAGTATAGAGACAGACGGAGACACGGAGAGATCAAGAGAGGCAGAGCATGTGTCAGATGGAGGCAGAGGCAGATGGAGACAGACAGAGAGAGCGAGTCCGAGAAACAGAAAGCAAAACAGAAAGACTCAGGGAGAATCCGAGAGACACAAAGAGTGTCCAGGATGCCAGAGATGAGGGCGCCCACAAAGACAGAAACAGAGAGTCCGAGGGAGAGACATAAGGAAACCAAGAAAAAAGACAGTCCGACTCAGAACCCACACAAACAGAGAGACAAACGGACGCTGAGGCAGAGACAGAGAGAGTCCAGGGATACGGGAAGATGGGAAGGAGACGCAGCCGCCGAAGCCAGGGGTGAGGAGGGGCGTACCACCCGGGGGGCGCGCCGCGGCAACTCCATGTGCAGCTGGGGCACGTGTGCGCTGGCATGTTTTGTGCATATATTTGCCACAACCGACTGTTGATGCTGGTACAAGCCTGAGCCGGTGCCAGGCACAAGCAGCCCTGGCAGAAGTACAGCCTCTCCCCGGCAGCCGGGAGCTGCAGTTGACTTTTCTCTGGCAGCAACACAAAACGAGTATCGTGAAATCCCCCCTCAAAATATGGGCTGTGGGGTGTCTTCCCGGGCATGCCCACCCCGTGCGTCCCCTCGGCCTGTGCCAGCAGCAGCTTGAAGGCTGCACTCTTCTTGGCTACAGAGACCTTCCAGGACGTAGGAGGGTCTCGGGATTTGGAAGAGACCATGGGAGTCTCTCCTTAGTCAGCAGCAGACAAGCACTTTAAAGGTGGGAGGCATGGCCGTTTCAGAAGTCTGGCACGGGCCGCCCATGTTGTGGGCACTTATGCTGCACCAGGCAATTAGTCAAAGTTGTCAGGTTTAATCCTTCTGACCTGGCCAGATAGTGAATATTATGCTCACCTTGCAGATGAGGAAAAAGAGGCTTGAGAGCTGAGAAATTTGCACAACAGGTCACAGAAAATAAGTCATCAAGCTGGGTTCCAACCCCAGGTTTATCTGACCCAAAGTCCCTGCCGGCTCCCTCACCCCTCCTTGGGCACAAAGCCTTGAGCCCGCCCACCATGAGGGGTGGGGGCCAGGTGCTTCCTTCTCCCTTCCAGTCCCTCTACCTGTACAATGTAAGAGAGGGCTGTGCTGCATAATGTTTAAAATGTGGGTTTGATTCCCAGCTCTGCCACTCACCAGTGGAGACCTTAGAGGAGTTTTCGGCTTCAGCCTCAGTTTGCTCACCTGTGAAATGGGGATAATGATATCCAGTTCATCGTGCTTTTGTGAGGGTGAAACAAGAGGATGTGCACAACAGCACTTAACCCAGCGACAATTAACCAGGGCTCCACCCCCTTCTGTGCTGTGATTAACTACATCATCCCCTCTCTGATGCATCCCGGTTCTCTGGGGCCTCTTCCTCTCCCTGCACCAGGTTCATTCCAAGGAGGAAGAGGGAAGGGTCATTGCTGAGCACTTACTACGTTTGAAATGCTTCACGTGTTTCACTGGATCCCTACGGCAGGCAAACACGTGACATGAGTATCACAATGCATCCTCAAAACAATAAGTCAGCTGAAGTTGAGGGAGATTCCAGTCACACAGGGAGGGAGGAGGAGTTGAACCCAGTCCCATGAGCCCCAAAGCTCAGCCCCTGAACACCCTCTCCCAGCCTTGAGCTGAGGTCTCCCTCCTCCCTCCCAGGGAGGACGCTTCAGGACCCTGCCTGGCTTCTCCTCCTGCTTCCTAGTCCCAGACACCATGTTGGGTCTGACAGGCAGATACAAACCGCTTCCAGGTGCCCTCTGTGGAAGCCCCCAGCCCCAGTGTCTGATGGCCATGGCCAAGGCTTAGCACGTACTCGCCACACCTCAGGCTGGCTTCCGGCCTGGCGACACGAGGCCTTGGGCAGAGTCTGTTTACTGACACCCTGGGAATCTGGGAGCCCCAGGGTGAGCTCATTCTCCCCCCACAAGTCCAAGCCCTCATCCCAGTTGCTCTCTATCCTCCTTCTTTTACACCTTCTAGTCCTCTTCCTCAGCTCTGCCTCTAAGCTTTTACTAATAACCTTGAAATAGACAAAAGCTCTGAGATGGGACAAGTGGCTTCCGTTCCTGGAAGTCGGCAGGCACTAGAACAGAGGAGCGGGGGCCTCTCCTGGTTATTGTTCACCATAAAGAGAAGTCAAGACAGTGAGGGCAGTGATGCTGTGGATAATCCTGCTTTAAGCCATTAATGTCGAACATCCTTCACCCTGGAGTCTATTGTCAACCTCACAGCAAATGGTTCATTCACTTGTTCTTTCTTTCCTTCTGCAACGTCCTTTATACACACACACACCCCGCAGGACAGGACAGAAGTAGCTTTCTCCCTGAATCCCAGAGAAGTCTGTCATCAAGCTCACCCCTCTCCCAGACTCGGAGGCGCTCGGGGCCACATCGCAGCCCTCTGGGCGGCAGCACTTGGGATGGGAAACCATGGGATCAGCACGGGCTCACTTGGGTTCAAGTCCTGACGCTCCCACTCACTCAGTGGTGGCAACTCACGGCTACATCACATCGCCCCTCTGAGCTCCTGAGTCACTGGAGAACAGGAAGGCCACACTAGCTTCATGCAAGTGTCAGGACCAACTCCAAAGCTCCAGCACACTCCCGTCCCTGTGTGCCCACAGCACATGACCGTGTCTCTAGTCCAGATCTTGAAGGGGGCAAAAACGCAAAGACTAAAGAGAAGGCAGTAGCTGAAACAACAAGCCACCCTGTCAAAACATCCTGTTAGATAGGAATAAGGAAGAACTTGGCCGAAGACAGAAGAGTGAGGAAAAAAAACCCATAATGCCAGCATTTCTTAAGGGCTTCCTGCATGTCAGGCCCTGTTGTAAACCATTAACACACTTGATTTTCTCAAGGACCCTGCAATTAGGTGTGAGTCCTACTCGCACTTAGCAGACGAGGAACAGGGGCTGGGAGAAGGGAAGTCGCTGGCAGGCAGTCATGTGGCTGGAAAATGGCAGAGAACAGCTTGAAACCAGGCTGTTGGGCTGCAGGCTTGTGGCCCAGCCCTGAACTGTGTTGCTTCCCAGCTGCTCTCTGCCCCCATTCTGTCTCACCCACGAAGCTCTGTGTATTTCTCTGTTCACCTGTTGCACTGGGAGCAGGTGACATGGATCACCCAGGAGGATTTCGGCGGAATTTACTCCCCACTGCCCCGTCAGCTTCCAGCTTCCTGAGTCACCCTTGCATGCTGCAACGTGCCCGGCAGGAATCTCAGAGGACCTGCACTGGCTCCTGGTTAGGGGGCCGTGTCTGTGGCTGCCACAGGAATGGAGACAGGGGTCAGAAGCTGCACTTAAGGTGTAATGATACTCAGTCTCTCCCTCTCTCTCTCCCCGCCCATTATACTTTCATATGGAAATGTCACAGCATGCCATTCTGTGCTTGGCCCTGGGTGTAAACTGTGCCACACACAATTTTGCCCTCCTTGTGCCCATGGTCCAGGTGGGGGGATGTATGAACAGATAATGCCCAGTAACATGACGAATGCCAAGCTAGAGGAGACCTAGAATACTGCAGGAACACAGAAGAGGGGCTCCCAACCCAGCCTGGTGGAGGGAGGGCGAGGGGAGCCAGGGAAGCTGTCCTGGAGAAAGTGGGGACTAAGCAAGAACTGATGCACAAGCAGGCACTCCCCAGGCAAAGGGAAGGAAGGGAAGGAAGGCGCCTTCCAGGCAGAGGGAACAGCATAGGCACAGGCCTAGAGGTGTGGAGAATTAAGCAGGATGACAGAGGAATCATCCTGGACTCCCCTCATTCTCTGGCCCCGCATCCAGTTCATCAGCCATCTTCACGGTTTCCAGCTCTGCAACCCCAGCCAGCTCCCCAGCGCAGCCCCACTGGCTTCTGCTCCCACCCTCACTCCCACCTACTGCTGGCTCCTCAGCAGCCAGAGAGATTAGTTTAAAGACATACCTCAGATTGTACTATGCCCCTGTTTATAACACTTCAGGGGGTTTCATCCCACTCAGTGGGAATAAGACCCACACTGCTTACCTGAAGGACCTGCTCTCTCTCTACCGAGACGGGCTGCCTCCTGCTTCCTGTTTGTTTCTCTCTCTGAAGCTCCCCACCCCCCCACCCCACCCCGACCCCGACCCCGCCCCTCGCCCGGCTTTCTGCTGCTCCCCAAACACAGGGAACACGGTCCTGCCTCGGACTTTGCCCTGCTGTGCCCTCAGTCTGGAGCACACTTCTCCTTCACATCCACACCATCACTCCATCTGGGTTTTGGCCTCAGTGAGGCTCCCTCAGACCGGTCTCTTCTGCCCGCCCTGTGCCCATCATCCAGCTCTACTTACCGTCCCCGCTTCTGTCCCCGGCTGCCATCTTCACCAGCTCGCCTGCCTGTTGCCTGTCTGTCCTCACGGAGTATGAACCGTGAAGGCAGGCGCACTGTCTGCCTCACTGCTGTCTCCCTTCCACCTAACACAGTGCCTGGCACATAGTAGGTGCTCAG